TCCATCCATGTCGTCCCAATAGAAAAGTCTTTCTTCACCAGCCAAATTGCCACAGCGTGCTTGAAGGACAGGGAGAGCCACGAGTTAGACCACAGGGTGGAGTCAGTCGTGGACGCTCCCTGTTACTCTGAGTTTAATGGAAAAATCCAGGGTGAGATTCCTGAGTTGGGGCACTGGCAGCGGGTGTGAAGAATTGCTTTCCCGATGGGGGAAGGGGCCTGGTCGGCCCTCCCTCAGGCCTGCTGGCTGAAGGCAGCTGCCCAGGGGTTCACGGGGTGTTCACGGGGGCCCGCTGACTCGAGGGGAGCGATGGTTTGCAGCCCCCGGCCCCTCAGCCGCCCACTTCTCTTCACCTAAGACCTGCTCGTTTCCCTTCCTGCCAGCCTCTCCCCTCCATCCAGTATTCTGGACTCTATCACCAGCTTAGGTGTCTAATGACTCAGCCATGGTTTAATTGGCCCTAGCTTCCGGTTGCTATGGTGATGCAGCCAGGAGCTGTGCTCACTGGGTTGAAACAAGAGGGAACCTGAGCTAGGAGGGGGGCAGCAGGGGGGAAAGGGCCCAGAGTGAAGAGAACACTTTCCTGAGGAACTGACAACCTCTTGTCATTAAAAGCTCATCAGGACAGGAACCCAGGCCCCCGGGCAGAGGGAGCTGAAGGTTTGCGTGGGAAAATGAAGCACCAAACACAAGGGCAAAGGCTCTTCCCTAGAGCTCCCAGGAAGTAACCGGAGCCTAAGAAAATGCTCGGAGGCTCGCAGGGTCTCGGGGTGTGGGTTTGGAAAAGATCCAGGCCAGTTAGGGACACAGTCAGGACGCACAGGGTCCTTATTTGCAGAAGTTTAAGGGCCCTCAACTGTCGGTCACAGATGAGAAACTGAGGGTCCAAAGTGGGAAAGGACTGGAAAGAAATCACATGCTGGGTTAGTGCAGAGCTGTGACCAGAGTGCTGGGCTCCCGAAGACTGTGCCGGGGCGTCCTCGGGGACCCCAGGGGCCCTGCACTTGGCGACCACGGTGGCCAACCTCCTCATTCTGCCAACAAGAGGCCCAGGGAAGGGAAACAACCTGCCCAAAGCCACACAGTCCCTTCTGGGCCAGACGCGGCTCTTTCACTGTAGCCCAGGTAAACGGAGGGGCCGCGAGAATTAGGGCAAAACAGTGTGAGCCAGGCCTTGGCCTTACTTTTCAGGCAATTCTAGGCGATTTGTGAGGCCACAAGGGAAGGACCCTCTCATCTAGGGAAGAGAAGGCTGGTGCCATGAAGTGAGGGAAGTGGGAAAGGACACCTCCTTGTCTCTTACTGAGGTCCCCCTTGGAGCCAACCCCTTCTCTGAGCAGCAGCTGGTAATGATAGGCAGAGGTAGCTTGGGGAGCATGACACTAATTTGCGGGTGCCTAAGAGGCCCCATCGGCACACAGATGTGGAAGCCAGGATACCCAGAGTAAGGAGATGACACCCCCAAGTCAGACTCCAGGTTACTGGCAAAGCTGGGAGGGAATCCCAGCACTCCTGATGCCCCTGCAGGGCTCTGTCTAGCAGGAGAGCCAGGAGGATGCCGAATTTACTTAGTACCTGGCACTTGTGTAGAAATAAACCATGAGGAGGGTGTGCTCACACCTGGGTATCAGGGGCCACGATGGAAGACGTATCCCCTGTGCATGTTCCTGCAGGGCCCTGGTGCCCCCGGCTCCGACTGTGGGACCAGCTGACCTGGATCTGAAGAGGATTTTGTTAATTTGAGATACCTACCCTGCGCAACCGGAGAAAACCGTGACGGTTTTCAGAACTGACACGGACACAGGCACAGCAGAAGCTGGTGGGAATGAGGGGGGGCCTGCAGTGGATGTGGCTCACGTGTGTAAAGAACTGCAGGTATCACAGGGATTTCCTTGGTGACTGTACTGGGAACACTGGGGCTGGGGCAACCTTGCCAGTTGGGTCAGAGTTAGGACACTTCAAGCTGGCCCGGGAGAAGGAACTACTAGCAAAGAGGAGTCATAATCAAGCGACCCTGCAGGGCCTTGAACACAGGGGTCTGGAGTAGGGCCATGGGGGTGAGGTCCTAAGGCCACACACTGTGAGAACACAGGGAGAGCTATTAAAATAGGAGAAGAACAAAGGAAGAAATGGGAGTTAGAGAGAAATGAGAGGGAGCAGGGCAGGAGGTGGGCGAGGATGAAGAAAGAAGAGGACAAGGAGGACAAGGACAGAATAGACAGACTGTCTACCACTGTGATGTTTCTGGAAGCCAAACACACACCACTACCCACCCTCACAGCAGCGATGGCTGATTTGCAGCCGTGGGTGTGCATGCACGCGCACGCACATACATGCATACATACATGTGTGCATCAGCCCAGATTAAACACAAGAGCTGAGAGCGACCTCAGAGAGAGGCTGGCAGCCTGGCCTTTACTTCCATCCCTGAGCAGAGGCCTTTTCTGCCCCTCCCCTCGCCCTCTCCTGCCCCAGTTTGTACAGCTTCTTTCTAGAAACGCCTCCAAGTCCTTGGCCAGTCCTCCTGGTGCTCCTGGTATACACAGTCCTGCTAATTTCTCTCTTTTCTCTTTTTTTCTGCCCTTATAAGCCCCAGCCTCAGGCCAGCAGTCCTCCTAATTTCTAACGCAGACCAGAGTCACACTGAGAACCACAGTTCTGGGCACCAGGCATGCAAAACAGGGTCAGACAGATCTGGAAGGAGCAATAGCCGGGGTGGGCACAGGGCAGATGGGGAGGGGCCACTGGACCTCAGATAGGAGCTACCTCCCCCTCTTCTTTGACGCGGCTGCATGCTTTCCCCTTCCCAAACAGAACATTCACTCGGTTCACACGTTCCTCTGGGGGAGCCATGACATCAGCGCTGCCAGCATGGGCACAGGGGATCCCCTTCCCTTCTGTCTTTTCAGTGCAGGGCAGCGGCGAGATGTGTTCCAAGGAGGCCTAGTAGGGATGGCCTAGCAGGCCCTTGAAATTCCTACCCACACGCCTTACACAGGCCTCTGGGTACAGCATCGTTGTCATCCGCGACAGCCTAGCCCTGTCCTGCAGGCTCTGAAATTTTTCTCTGCAACAGGTCTCGGGGGAGTGGTGGCTTCCCCTAGATGTGTGCAGCCATGAGTGACAGTCTGCTCCTCCAGGGGAATCTCACGGCTCTGGTCTCCAGGAAGGCGTGCAGGAAACTGTCCTGCAGACCGGGGCTCGGTCCATTTGCCGCAAGAGGCCCCTGCGAGGTGCTCTGACCTCCAGGGTGGAGGTGGAGGACGTCACAGGGGGCAGGAGTGAGGGATCAGAAAGAAAACAATCCTCCCCCTGGTCACCTGGAACAAACTTCGCAAATCAGTCTTACATCTATCTGTTCCTCCGCTCTGGAACAGCAACTGGCAAATAGCATCTGCTGTGGATTAACAGGGCACCGGCCATCTGGGTCACAGAGAAGCTGCATGGGTGAGTGGAGCTCATGACCCCAGGACACCTGACCTCACAGCCCGGGACTGAGCCTGTGCCGGAAGCAAGGAGTAGCTCTTAGAGAAAACTGGCAGCATCTTGTCATCAAGGTCAGTGATAGTGCATGATGGGAAAACCAGAAAAGTGATCTCAGGTGGTTCAAGGACTCAGCTAACAGCAATGGTTAAACACAGGAGCTGCCCTCCCTGTATTTAGAAAACAAGGGATTATGTGGCTCTTAGGAGATCAAGTCTTGCACGCAAGTAAGACTGAATACATTTGAGTGTGGTTTGATTAAAAGACCCTGCTCCCGCCACTAGGCCTCACCCCCAACAATTGCTTCTGGAACACTCTGCTGTATGACAGATAACACCTTGCAGGGTAAATAAAAACTATCAGGTTTTCCCGCCCTCCCGCCATTAGCTCAAATGCATGCCTGATGGCAGACAACTAGCGTAGGGGATGGACATGCGTAGGTGGGTACACCCGGGCTGAGAGGCCGGGCTAATAAGGGCAGCGTCGCAGGAAGAGAACCAGAAGAGAACGAGAGAGAAGGAGAAGCAGAGACGACGAGAGAACGAACGCCAGAGAGCCCAGAAGAGTGAAGATTCGCCGGGGCTGGGAGGCCTGCCAGCCTCCTGCCCCCCCGCCGGCACCCCAGACTGCCATGTATGTACCTGGTGAAATGGCAATAAAAGCCTGAAAAGCCACCGAAGGCGCCAGCACTCCTCCTATACCCGTCAACTCCGATCATAGAGATCCTGGACTGTGCCCTTCCTGCCTCTACCACCTTCACAAATATGCAGTAATACTAATTGAAAACACAAAGCACAGTGAATGAGAAATGCAAATACAGGGGACAACCACATTTTACAGATGCAAAGTACAAAGTAATAGCCAGGCAGCTTGGACAACTATAAAAGCATTTAATACACACACAACACGGCTCCACATAGCGTTACTGGGTGAAAGCACTGTGTGACGTGGGCGACAAAGACTAAAACTTTAAATGACTCTATAAGGAGAAAGCACGGGTACGTGCTGCCCAACAAATACATCAAAAAGAGGTTTCCACAAAACTGACCAAAGGAAATCTTTTATCTAAGAAACTAAGGAACATAACTTTCATGAGGAGTGATGTCCAAACCAGATATTTTCAAGGAATTTGCCAAGACATGGGCAACGGGAAATCTCGACTTTCTGTTGTCGTGGGGAACAAGGACTTTCGCAGAGCGCTCCCCTTCCTACTCCCTCACGGCTTGTACCAAACCTCAATACTGGCATCAGCTGGGATCCCCCACGACGTATACACACTGACAGTGTGAGATTCTCACGAACCCTGCAAACTCTTGGAACTCTCACGGGGCTGGAGGAAATGAATCCCCAGGCCCCGGAGGAGCCGACATGATGGGACCCAGGGGTTTTTATGCTGAGCGTGTTTAAGTGGGGAGTAGGCATGAAGCGAGAAAAACATCTGCAGGCACCCAGCAGAGACTCATAAACTGACCTTGCTGGGGACACTCCCCCGTCTCTACGCCAAGAATTAAGAAACAGAACACGAAACCACTGTGTCCTTGCTCAGGGCCGGTATCACCAAGAAACAAGGTTTCCACTGTCCCACAGACACTTGCCAAGGCCCACCTTGCACTTCAGGTCCTCTCCAGACACAGCCAGCACCCGGGGGCAGAGCCTGGGACAAGCGAGCTCACTGCCAGGCACGCAGTGTTTCCGCGTCCATGGGAACTGCAAGTCTTGGAGCCCCGGGGAACCCACTCCTGACTGGGCTGCCTGAGCACACGGAGAGGAGAACCTACCTGTCTGATTCCATAGTTGCACTGTGGACTCCCCAGGACCCTTGGCATTTAATCGGACCCACGTGGGATAGGAAGAAAAAGAGTCTCGGCTGTGGGCATTACATGTTCCTGCTTCTGTGCGTTTACGTCAGCCTGGTGTATCTCTTTTGAAGGAGTCTCAGTGTATGGAGTAATCGTGGGGGACAGTTTCACCTATCGGATGCCAAATCTCCCCGTTGCTGTTCTTTAAAACACCTGCACGAATGTCCTCAGTTTCCTATCTCTTTGGGTTCCAGGATGCTTGTGAAGGAAGAATGAAATGAACGACAAAGTCACGTTAACCATCCCACAGATGACAATCAGGAATCCTAGAAAAGAACACAAGAAAAAAATAGTTTAAAAGTACTGGGAAGCATCTCAAAGCCAGGAGAAGCCAAGAAGACTTAGCACTCCAGAAACAATAGCCACAGGGGTAAGAGCTAAAACTTCCGGCTTTCTTACTGCACAGCACTCCCCAAGCTCCCCAGCTACTGTGGAGGAAAATGACAGATGGCCCTACTGCCTCAGCTGAAATGACAGAGAATAGAGTCTAGATGTGGAGGTGCAGCTGCAAAATTAAGGGGGACAAGGGGGCTTGGAAGCTAGAAGAACACAGAAGGCATAGGACCAAAAATGTGAGTATAATCTGTACCCCGATCCCTGGGTGACGAATAGAGGTGGGGAGCAGGCTACCGCAGATGGTCAGACAGATGCATCCTCCAGTTCTGGACCAGGCTCCAGGATCCAAAGGCCTCAGATCTAAGCAAAACTGCTGTCATAGTCACAAGATCTGTTTTTCCCCGCTGCCTGTGGATGGGACTGCAGGCCCCTGGGCTCATTCCTTCCGCTGTAACCATCCACTTAGGGATCAAGTGGCAGCAGCCTTCCCTACACAGACACACTAAGAGCTCCCCTAACTGTTGGCGAATGACTGCTAATCCGGTCCCCATAAATCCCTGCCTTTGGGACACACGTCTCCTGGGTGTGTAGGGAGGAGAGGCCGGAGCTCAAACTACACACTGGAGACTGTTTTGAGGTCAATGAAGAGAGATCCCCTGCCTCCAACACACCCCACTCTCTTCCAGTGCCACAGTCTTCGTGAAACTTCATTCCCAGTGGCTCTAGCTTCGCTGCTGTCTTCACAGGCCTATCATTCTGCCTTGGTGTCTCCACATCTAGGCTGTTTGTCAGGCACCAAGAGAACCAGGAACAGGGCTCAGTATCGCTTGGGACACAGGCTCACGCTGAGGAGCCCAGTGAAATCTGTATTCATGTTTCTGCGAATAAAGGAGTATTTTCGCTGAGTGAAAATCCCCTTGTCAAAGAAAAAGGGCTCATGGTGTGGCAGAGTTGTATGTGAGTCCCTCAGAGTCTGCACCCGTCTCCCCGGGGGAGCCTTGGGCCCCTGTCCCATCCCTGCTCCGGTCTCTGGTGATGAAGTGAGGTACACAGCAAGCAGGGCCTGTGGAGAGCCAGTCCCCTCAGCACACACTTCAGAGCTTCAGCGGCCTGAACGTACATTGATTTTGTGTGAGCTGGTGGTGCCTGTTAATTTGCACACATGCTCAGAAATACAGACGTGAGGGGTCACGGGGCTCTTCACATTGTCCTCCCTCCCAAGTGTCCTCTTCACTCTTTCCTCCTAAACCTTCCCAACATCCCCACAACGCTCTGATGTAGAAACACGTATTGCCAGGTTAGGCCTTGAGAACTAGGAGTCAGGACACTGAAATCCTGCTCCTGACATACTTCCAACCAGATGCCGGACCCGGGAGAGTCACCTCACGTTTCTGGAAATCACTTTTAGTGCAGGTTAAAAAGGAAAGCTTGAAGCCCATGAACTGAAGACCCCCTTACAATTTTGGCTTGTCGTGATTCTCTTCCCATCAAGGCACAATTACTCGCAGCTCTAAAGCATAAGATCATTCCCTAGACACTGTGGGAAATTTGGAATTGATAACGACACTGTCTCCCTTCTCTGGGACGTCAAAATTCACGGAATTCATTTCTCCCCGTCTATTTCAGATTATTGAAAATGGAAGGCCAGTTGGTCCTTGTGTATTGACGCTACCTCCAAGTTCACAGTCAAATGATGTTTTCGCACCGGCAGTAAGTGTTTCAGTATTTGCATCTGTTATCTGTTGCTTTGTAATGCAGCCCACCAAGAGGTAGTGGCTCAAAACAAACGTTAATATCTCACTGTTTCTGTGGGACAGGAATTTGGGAGGTTAGTCGCTGGGTGCTTCTGGCTCAGGGTCCCTCATGAGGGCGTTCTGGATGTTGGCCCAAGCCGCAGGCATCTGAAGGCTTCACTGGAGCTGGATGATCCACACCAATGGTGGTTTCCCCACACGGTTAGCCAGAGGTTTCAGTTCCTTGCGTGTGGCCTCACCGTGGGCCACTTGAGAGCCCTCTCAACATGGCATATGGTTTTGCCCAGAGCAAGTTATCCCAGTGAGAGGCTGACAAAGACAGAAGCCTCCATGGCCTTTATGACCTGCTGTTGGAAGTGACTCCCTAGGACGTCTGCTTCTTTCCACCCATTGCAGTCATGCACTAAGGCTAGCTCGCACTCAGAGCAGGGAATGAGACATCACCTTCTCAACAGATTGTCAACCCGTGGGCATATTTGAAAGCATCACAGCATTTTCTTTAAAAAAACCCATCTCTTAAGTCGAGTTTTTATAATGTTTATTTTCAATTTCAGTGACTTCTACTCTTGAGTTTTCAGTCTACTAGCCTGCTCTTAATTCCCACTTTCTTGTGGTGGAAACTTAGCTTACTGGTTTTAATCATTTCTCCTTTTCCAACATGGGCATGGCAGCTATAATTTTCCCCCCATGATGACTTATTTGCCCTTTCATTTCTTCCTTAAGCCTTTGTTACTGCATTATTACTAAATTTGTACACATTTCAGAATTTTCTATGTATCTTATTATGATTGTGCTCTAATTTAAATCCATTATTATATGAAAAACATTGATTGTTCCCACTCTCCACATACATGCCAACATTTGTTATTTCCTGTCTTCCTTTTCTAGGTTTTCCAGCTTGTTTTTATAATTCTAAGGCAGGAAGAAATAGAAATTCATTTGGAGAGAGAGTAATTTTTGAGGTATCATCATTTTAAATAGTTTTGTGTGTCTGTCATTATAAATCATCTTCTGTATATACTGCATTAAGCTAATCACTAAATGTCCATCTTATCCTTCAGCGTACAATTTGCCCCTTTGTTCTTGATCTAGGTAGGTGGTTTGGTGAAGGGTGAAACATGTACAAATATGGAAGAACAAATATGTAACCCCCCAAATTAAAATACAAATTAAAAAAATAATTTACCCCTTTACCCAATTTGTCCATTCCTCTTCCCTCTTTCCTTCTGATAACTCTCATTTTGATCTTATAATCTAAATGCTTAGTATTTGCCTTATTTCTTTCATTGATTTGTTTTGTACCATGAGTGAAATCATGACATTTGTCTCTCTCCACCTGACTTTGTTTCACTAACCATAATACCCTCTAGTTCCATCCATGCTGTTGCAAATAGCAGGATTTCATCTTTTCTTTACAGCTGAATAATATTACATTGTCCATATATCCCACTCTTCTTCATCCAATCATCTGTACACAGGCACTTGTTTCCAGCTCTTGGAAGTGGTAAATAGGGTGCAGTGTACATGCGTGTGCACACATCTCTTCAAATTAGAGTTTTTGCATGCATTAAGTAAATCCCGAAACGTGAAATAACTGAATTTCACTTTGTAGAAATGCAATTTTCGGAAGAATCTCCATGATGCCTTCTATATTGGCTGCACCCACTTGCATTCCCATCAACAGAGAGCAAGTGTTCCCTGGTCTCCACATCCTCTCCAACACTTGTTTCTTGTTTTTTGGGTAACAGGCATTCTCAAAGGTGTGAGGTGTTACCTCAGGGTTGTTTTGATTTGCATTTCCCTGTTTATCAGAGATGATGGGCATCTTTTCAGGTGCCTCTTTGTCATCTGTATGTCTTCTTTGGAGAAGAGTCTAATTCACATCCTCTTACTCTGTTGAAATATGTTTGTTTGCTTTTTTTGTTGTTGAGTTGTATGAATTCTTTATATATTTTTGGATATTAATCCCTTGGTGGATATATGCTTTCCGATAATCTCCCATTCAGTAGGAGGTCTTTTGGCCTCGATAATGATTTACTTTGCTGTGCAAAAGCTTTCATTTTGATGTAGTCCCATTTGTTTATTTTTGCTTTTGTTTCTCTTGCCATTGGAGGCAAGTCTTCAAAGATATTTCTAAAGCTGATGTTGAGAAACATACAGCCTATATTTTCTTCTATGTGTTCATGGTCTCAAACTTTGTATGGAAGTCTTTAATCCATTTGGAATTAATTTCTGTCTATGGTGATCTGATTTCATTCTTTTGTATGTGGTTGTCTAGTTTTCCCAACACCATTTTTCGAAGAATCTTTTCTTACTCCATTGTATGTTTTTGGTTCTGTTGCTGTAAAGTATTTGTCCATGCATGCCTGGGTTTATTTCTGGGCTGTCAATTCTTTTCCATTGATATGTGCCTTCATTTATTCTAATAGCATATTGTTCTGATTACTGTAGCTCTGTAGCATAGTCTAAAGCCATGGCACATGATACCTCCATTCCCCCCCCACTTTTTTCCCCTCTCACAATTGCTTTGGTTATCCTAGGTTTTTCTGGTTCCATACAAACTTTAGGCCTTTTTGTTCAATTTCTATGAAAAATGCCACTGGGATTTTGATAGTTATTGAACTGCATCTGTGTATTTCTTTAGCTTAAATGGCCATTATAATTCTGACAATTCTTTGTTCCTGAGCAGGGTGTCTTTTAATTTCTTTGTGTCTTCTTCAATCTTTGAGCAGTATCTTATACTTTTCAAAGTACATGTCTATCCTTCAGGTAAAATTCTTAGGTATTTTATACTTTTTCATGCCATTGTAGATAGGTTTGTTTTTTTAATTTCCCCTTCATTTGCTGTGTATGGATAGAAATGCAAAAGATTTCTGTATGTTGATTTTGTAGGCTGAAGATGTACTGTATTCATTTATTGGTTCTAAGCTTTTAGTGGCCTTTAAGACTTTCCTGTATAATATTAGGTCATTTGCATATAATGATGGCTTTAATTTCTTAATTTCCAATTTGGATGACTTTAAAAATTTTTTTTCTTGACTAATTACTCTGGCTAAGACTTCCAATATTATGTTGAATGATAGTTGTGAGATGGGCATCCTTACCTTATCCCTGACCTTAGAGGAAAACCTTTCTGGGTGTGATGTTTGCAGTTTGATTTTCATATATTGTTATTTCTATGAGAGGTACTTTCCTTTTAAACTCATTTTATTGGGATTTTAAAATCACAAATCAATGTTGAATCTTGTCAAATGCTTCCTCTGCATCTATTGAGGTAGTCTGATGATTTTTATCCCTCATATTATTGATGTGACATGTTTGTTGATTTGGGTATGATGAGCCATCCTGCATTCCTGGAATCCCTCTTGATCATGGTGTTTGATGCCTTTAGCGTATTGTTGAATTTGCTTTGCTACTTTCTGTTTAGGAATTTTTACATCTTTCCAGGTATATCAAATGTTTTGTGTGTGATAGCTGTCTCTGGTTTGTAATCAGGTAACTCTGGTCTTGTAAAATGAGTTGAGAAGCATTTTCGCCTCTTCAATTTATGAACTAGCTTAGGAAGGCAAGTATTAAATCTTTGAATGTTCCCTAGAATTCACCAAATGACACTGTCTTTTGTTTTGGATTTTTGTTTTCTACACTTTTATATTTTGGGAAATTTTCATTAGTTTCAATTTCCTTACTAGTAATTAATCTGTTTCCTGATTTTCCTATTTCTTCCTGAGTCATGCTTGGAATGTGGTACCAATCTAAGAATTTATCCATTTCTTTAAGGCTGTCCAATCCGTTGGCATATAGATGTTCATAATAATCTCTTGTGATCCTTTGTATTTCTGTGGAATTCACTGTAACTTCTCTTGCACTTCCAATGTTATTGATTTGAGTTTTTTTTTTCCTTATGAGTATAGCTAAAGGTCTGTCCATTTTGCTTATTTATTCAAAGAATCAGCTCTTAGTTTCTCTGATCTTTTGTATTGTCTTTTTGTTTTCTATTTCACTTATTTCCAATCGGTTTTATTCCAATCTGGTTTTTATTTATTTCCTTTTCTCTACTCACTTTTGCCTTCATTTGTTCAGCTTTTTCTTGTTCCTTTATACGTATGGTTAAATTGTTTGAGATTTGTTGTTTGAGAAATTGCCATATACTTCCCTCTTGGTGCTACTTTTGCTGCATCCCAAAGATTTTGGTGCATAGTATTTTCATTTTTATTTGTGTTCAGGCATTTTCATTTTTTTTTTGATTCCTTCAATGACCCAATAGTTGTTCAGTAGCCTGTTGTTTATTCTTCACATATTTATGAATTTTCAAGCTTTCTTCTTTTGTTGATTTCTAACTTTGTAACACTTTGGTTGGTTACAATACTTCATGTGATTATAATTTTCTTAAATTTACTGAGACGTGTTCTGTATCCCAAAATATGATCTACCCTTGCGAATGTTCCATGTGCACTTGAGAAGAGTGTATGTTCTATTTTCAGATGGAATGTTCTACAATATCTATTAAGTCCATCTGGCCTAACATGTCATTTAAAACTGCTGTTTCCTTGCTGATTTTCATTCTGGATATATTCTAACACGCCCTACTAGTATGTTTTGCTGTCAAATTTTCACTGGGTTGGTTAATACTGGCTTTACATATTTTGGATCTTCTTTGTTGGGTGCACATATATATTAACAATTATTATATTTTCTTGATAGACTCCTTTATCATTATATAGCTGCCATTTTTGTCATTTAGTATGGTCTTTATTTAAAAATTCATTTTGTGTGATATTAGTATTGATATCCCAGCCCTCTTTTTGTTTATATTTGCACTGAGTATCACCTTCTATCCATTCATGGGATGTCTTTTGACTGGAGAATTTAGTCCGTTTATATTGAAGGTGAATATTGACAGCTATGCATGATTTTTATTAAGTTGAGAAAGATCCATTCTGTGACTAGTTGCTTAGA